GCCAGCCGCAATCTCTTCGTGGCGATCACGTTCTCGCAACTCTGACCGGCTAGGACGTAACCTCTCAGCTGTTCGGTCACGATGAACGCCTCCGCGTGGTCCAACTGCGTGAACAACGGCGTGTTGATGGTCTCGTTGCCCAGCGTCAACACCCTGGTCCACGTGATCGATTGGTGCTCCTTGGAGGACATGATGGCCGTTCCATCTTCTACGCTAAGACCGTCGCACGCCCAGACGCTCAACTCCCACGTGGCGGGATGGAGCATCGCGCAATGCTCGAATTGCAGGATCACAGGCTTGTTGAAGGTCGCCGACGAGGGGCCGCACGTCACCACCGCGGATAGTTGCGTGATACCATCTGTGGGAAACAGGCGGTCCAACTTCCGTGTCATCGATTCGCAATCGGTTAAACGTGTATATGTATAGCATATTTGTTCGATAGAATCGGCATTATGTAAGAAACTCCCAGGAGTAAATCTCCACGAATCGATTGTTTCTCAACAATTCTATAGAATGCTAAGTGAAACCCTAATACAAACGCGGTAGTTCTCGGAAGTTTGACTTCGGCAAACTCCGCTTGACAAGGGTTTAATTTACGACCTCTCTGCATAGTATTATACTCGTAATTCTGTGATCGGATGACAAAAGCTGATATACCGCAGTATGAACGTATCACGTTTTGCCATCTGATCAGATTCAAAACGTCCGTCGAAGACAATCTGGATCCTATCCAAATAGATATTGATCTAATCGGATGAACGTAACAGATCGTTAACCCGTAACTGGCAATTGCAGCGGGTCAATTAATAAGGCGCGCACCACTTACCGGGTAATCGAGGCCTGAAGCGATCCTCGTTCAGCACCGCCAGGTAGAGTTCCTCCTTGAGCGGTTTCGGCACGGCCCCCTCGGGCACCGACATCGAGATCCCGGCGTCCGGGAGCACCAAGAGGGCACCGCGCGTGTTCACCGCGGCGCCAGCCACGTTTCGCCAGCCGCAATCTCTTCGTGGCGATCACGTTCTCGCAACTCTGACCGGCTAGGACGTAACCTCTCAGCTGTTCGGTCACGATGAACGCCTCCGCGTGGTCCAACTGCGTGAACAACGGCGTGTTGATGGTCTCGTTGCCCAGCGTCAACACCCTGGTCCACGTGATCGATTGGTGCTCCTTGGAGGACATGATGGCCGTTCCATCTTCTACGCTAAGACCGTCGCACGCCCAGACGCTCAACTCCCACGTGGCGGGATGGAGCATCGCGCAATGCTCGAATTGCAGGATCACAGGCTTGTTGAAGGTCGCCGACGAGGGGCCGCACGTCACCACCGCGGATAGTTGCGTGATACCATCTGTGGGAAACAGGCGGTCCAACTTCCGTGTCATCGATTCGCAATCGGTTAAACGTGTATATGTATAGCATATTTGTTCGATAGAATCGGCATTATGTAAGAAACTCCCAGGAGTAAATCTCCACGAATCGATTGTTTCTCAACAATTCTATAGAATGCTAAGTGAAACCCTAATACAAACGCGGTAGTTCTCGGAAGTTTGACTTCGGCAAACTCCGCTTGACAAGGGTTTAATTTACGACCTCTCTGCATAGTATTATACTCGTAATTCTGTGATCGGATGACAAAAGCTGATATACCGCAGTATGAACGTATCACGTTTTGCCATCTGATCAGATTCAAAACGTCCGTCGAAGACAATCTGGATCCTATCCAAATAGATATTGATCTAATCGGATGAACGTAACAGATCGTTAACCCGTAACTGGCAATTGCAGCGGGTCAATTAATAAGGCGCGCACCACTTACCGGGTAATCGAGGCCTGAAGCGATCCTCGTTCAGCACCGCCAGGTAGAGTTCCTCCTTGAGCGGTTTCGGCACGGCCCCCTCGGGCACCGACATCGAGATCCCGGCGTCCGGGAGCACCAAGAGGGCACCGCGCGTGTTCACCGCGGCGCCAGCCACGTTTCCGGTCTCGAGCTTCTGCAATCGGACGCTCTCCGAGGCGACGTTGTACGTCGAGTCGGAGGAGGGGTACGAGCTAGTGACGCTGTTCTCGCAATCGGAGTGGATCTGCTTGTCGCTGCAGGACTCCTGGGTCGAGGTGCTGGGCGTCGGCGACATTGGCGACGGCTGAGGGGCGATCGACAGGTGGGGGACGTCGTAATGGTGTTCGGAGAGGGATCTCGACATCGACAGCTTCGGGTCGAAAGGATACTCGTAACAGGCCGGCACGCTCGTCGCCGTGACGTCCGGCTGCAGGCTCAGCTTCTTGTCCTGGTCCGGGAAGAACTCCGGCTGGAATTCTGAAACGCACACCGCCGAGCCACGGCTCGTGGGTATCTCTGCGCGCTGCGGACAGACGCCGCTGTGATACTATTTCGATTTTTATGCTGACACCTCCGGGTTCGCTACCTTCATCGGATCACTTTTCCACACCTGTGGACCTTTCGAGATACTCCATTTAGGAATGTCCCATTATTTTCACTTTTCCTTCTTCACATTTTATGTGTAGCAGAACGCTCTTTAATTTGCCTACATGTTTTGATGCGTACATTTAAATGATAATTGTGATATAATCATATATTGTCAAGTATGACCATATATTATATTAAGTATAATCATATATTGTCATACTTGACAATATACAATACCTAGCAGCCAGATACATTATGGTTATATTATATATTGTCAAGTATGACAATATATACCTAGCAGCCAGGTACATTATGGTTACAAAAGGAATCAGACTTTGTAGCAATCTCTTAACAAAACTAGTCTTAAATCTTCATCTTAATATTCTCATCTCATAAAGTCACTCCACAATTCAATAAACTGAACTATTATAACTGTACATACAATTACGTACAATCCATCAAAAGCATCTGTATAAACGAAATCATTAAAAACGAAATAAAAGACGATAAAAATTGAAGTGAATTTAAATCATTGAAATGAACATCCCGTATGAAGATGAAAATTAGTAGCAGTCTGAAGCTTGAAAGGGTAAAGATGTAGGAAATAGTCGAATTTCCCGTGATCGATACCGATCAAAGTAGCGAACACGTGGTGCCGATAAAACTTCGAAATAGTACCGCTCTGATCGCGTGCAGCGAACGAAGAACCGAAAGCAAAGCTAACCTCGTGAAAGGGGCAGCTTTAACTCGGAACATAATTACATCCTACGAACGTAACGCGTTTCGCTCCTTCGTTTGCGATGAGTCAACGCGGATGGGGCTTCTTTTTTCCATCTTTGAAATGCTTACCGTTACGAGCCATGGAGTAGAGGGAATGGTCCCGACCTTTGCGCCTCAGAAGCTTCGCTAAGAAAAACGCCAGTCCACCGATTACCACACACGCGACAGTCAAACCGATGTACAGTGCCACGTCCATCTGGCGATTCGCTGTAAACATCAAACGATATTTTCTTTCTAATTTATTCTATCAGCTGTTGCTTTGTAGAAGATGACGTAAATCCTTCTAAGGTGTTATTCGAAGAGATAAAATTTTTAACGACTACGTTGAGCAACGTAGGATTCGTTGGAATTTCGTCTTCCAGATTCGACGGGACCAGAAATTCTCGCTAATTTGAAACTTTGTTAGTCCGTGCTAAGCTATTCGTCGAAAGATTATCGCTCGTTCGGAGATTACGGTAAACGGGTTGGCGTTAATTCCTCGTTTTAAGGGGTCCACCGAGCGATACGATCTCGCAGCAGTTTAAGACGTACCGTGCAAATGGTGTCGGTAATTCACGCGTATCCGCGAAGCGTGCTCCTCGTGGACGACCAACGACCACCGTTCATGAATAATTTACGCGGCAACTTTTATACCTATACGCCATTTTCTTCCCTGTTTTCGTTTTTATGACGAAACGTGTTCACGGACCGGGGTTTCGTTTTTTCCCTCTCTTTCCTTTTACTCGATTTTTTCTCTCAGAGGCTAGGGGACACGAGAGTTTTTAAACGTTTCCCGCGTCGCGCTAAATATTACGAGCATCGCGGTAGGAAAGTTTTTAAGCTCGCTTCCTCTCCATTTAACGCCAAGTGGACACGGCTCGTTTTCTTCATCCGACCGCTTCTTTCTCCTCTTCTGACGCCGTTTTATCGCTTTACAACGGACCTTTATTTCGTGCTTTCGGCGATAAAGATTGGCGTCGTTATTATCGTGGCTGTTAACGGGCCGCAATAAAAACAGCTGTATAACATACCGTTCGAACGGAACAATAATTTTTAAGTGGTCGTCGCGAGACAACACAGCATGCGATTAAAAACGAGAAACAGAAGCATAAGTCCTCGCGTTCGTACCAAATCACGATTGAATTACGTTGTTTGCGTTTCATCGAGATCCGAGCGTTGCATGAATTATATAACAGCGAATTTTATTGCCGGATTAAACGGTCGTCGCGTAAATAAGCGACGATATACGAAACGTCGTAAATCGCTAAATTTCGTATCAATTTATCAATAAGGGTAATGGAGGATTACTCGTGCAACTTTCCTCATTACGCACCGCCGAATTCTCTTTGAGTCCATTATTGCCAACCGTTCGACGACGAGATTCCTCTGAAAGGAAAGACGGATTAATTGCAGTCTGCACGGCAAATGGAATCGCAGTTGAGATTCTACTTTGAATTTTAATGGCTGGATAGTAGATGGAGATACAGATTTCAAATTTAGTTGCACGGTTGGAAATTTAGGATATTGAAGTTTGCAAATGCTGAAGGTCTTGAAAATATAAAAATTTTGGGGTTAAAAACGTCAGAATTTAAAAATGTAGTAATTCGTTGGAAATTTAGGTATTCAAAAATGTAATCATAAAAAATGAAGACCTATGACAGTTTAAAAATATGGAAAAGTTAGGGCAGTCATGTCTGTGAGTTTTCCGTAAACTCATTTCCAGTAACAAGTAGACGTCGCCTGATCGAAGTAGCTCGTGACTCGAATTTCGGCGGCACAAAGAAAAATCCAGGGGCTGTGGCTCATTGTCGCGTTGAAGATGTCGGCCGAAGATTTTCAAGAAATACCGAGGGAAACCGGCGGCTGACGTTCCTAAGCTTCTTCCAATTTTAGAATGTCAAAGCCATTCCCGGTTGTAACCCCGGTACGTGACTTTCAAGGGCCACGGCATCTTGTTCGCGGGATCATGTGCGTCTGCTTGGCGCACGCTCGTGCGACCCGTACGGGACACGTGCTTCGAACATCAATATACCAACACGCGGCGACGAAAACGCATACGAATTCGTGACAGGGAGAGCATTCCCTGAAACGCAGATAGTTCCGCGTCGTTAGTCGGGATCCGTTTCCCGTGGAAAAACCGCCCGCGTCTTTCACCCTCCGCGAAGTGCGCGAGGCCCGAGAAAAGGGGGCGCGGAGATTTATTTTCTTAGCGGCAATTGATAACGCTTCATAACCCCCCGGGCTAATGTATCTGAAGCCTATAATTCATCGCCAATCCCCTGTTGGAAATCTTGCGGCACCGATTGCCGTTTTTTTTCTTTCCTCTGCGAGGGTCTTTCAGGAACACTTTGCACCACTTTCCAACGCGAACTTTCCGCGGCTATGAATGAAGCGGAGGAGGGGTTGCTACGACTGCGTTTGACGCGCTATCGATGGAGAAATTTATCGTGTGTAACTTCCAGATTGAGAGAGGAAGACGCAGGTTTTGCTTTTGTTAGCTGGAAATTCTGAGAGTATTCAATCAATGTTTAAACTTATGGGAATATTGTTATGAATATAGAGAAGGAGATGCAATTAGACTTACTCAATTTGAAAATTGGTTAGAGAAATAGGTTAAGACAGTACTCATTTAGGAGTTAGGTTAACATAAAATCATGAGCAAAATTCTGAGAGTATTCAATCAATGTTTAAACTTATGGGAATATTGTTATGAATACAGAGAAGGAGATGCAATTGGATTTAATCAATTTGAAAATTGATTAGACAGATAGGATAAGACAGTACTCGTTTAGAGGTTAGATTAACATAAAATCATGAGCAAAATTCTGAGAGTATTCAATCAATGTTTAAACTTATGGAAATATTGTTATGAATATAGAGAAGGAGATGCAATTGGACTTAATTAATTTGAAAATTGATTAGACAGATAGGATAAGACGGTACTCGTTTAGAGGTTAGGTTAACATAAAATCATGAGCAAAATTCTGAGAGTATTCAATCAATGTTTAAACTTATGGAAATATTGTTATGAATATAGAGAAGGAGATGCAATTAAACTTAATCAATTTGATAATTGGTTAGATAGATAGGATACGACGGTACTCGTTTAGAGGTTAGGTTAACATAAAATCATGAGCAAAATTCTGAGAGTATTCAATCAATGTTTGAACTTATGGGAATATTGTTATGAATACAGAGAAGGAGATGCAATTCGACTTAATCAATTTGAAAATTGATTAGACAGATAGGATAAGTACTCGTTTAGAGGTTAGGTTAAGATAAAATCCTAAGTAAAATTGCAATATCACAGGATGTAGTTTGGGGATCACCGAAACAAAGTTTCGTGCACGAAAACGAGCGAGACCGTTTCGTATTCCCAAACTTCATCGAAATTCAACTCGCGCCGCCATTGCGAGTCCATTGGACTTTAACCATTTCGTTGAAAATCGCCCGCAAACCTCGTCACCACGGTTCGCAATCGGTCGCGCGTCTTATCGCGGCTTTCGATGAAAATCGAGCTCGCCTCGTGGCTCGAAAGGGTGGTTTTCTGGCTAAACCCCGTCCTACCCTTCGACCGACCATCCAACGTACACGTTCGAGCCTTCGCCACGGGATAATGGCACTTTATTTGCATGCACGATCAATTTCCCCGGTTGCAAGGCCGCGGGGAGGGCGTAACGGCTACCGATTACATAATTTTCTTCGATATTAAAGCGGCCCACCCCGTCGTCGACGACGGGGGATGGGGAGAACCTATCTCGAACCGTATCGCGTGCAACTTTGATGTAGCTCGGTCGATAGAATCGTTCACCTCGAACAGAGGGTGTTGTCTCGATCTACTGGGTGTCATGTAACTGATTCTACAACCGGAAAGACAAGATGAGAGTCTGTCATCAAAAATTTTACAAAAATGTATAAACAGTGATTTTGAGAGCATCAAGGAAGTCTATGTCTCGATTTTTTATTTGTAAACATTACACAAGCTCGAATGTCTGCAAATGTATTTAATTTTTAAGAATTTCTTTGAGTAAAAAAATTATGTTGTACATATAATTCTACATTTAATACAGATGTAAATAATTTTGTAATATTTTTTGTTTCCTATGAACGGTTGTCGACAATATCATTTTTAGACAATTTTTTAAATCAGAGAATGAATATGACACCCTGTATATGTACCAGTGGGCCACCCTTGTCTCCCGGTCGATTGTTGCGATTGTTTGAACCGATCGAGGGGGTCGACGATCGTCGCGGCGCCCTTCGCGGAGCGTCAATAATTAACCGGTCGCGTAATTAAAAGTAAATACGAAGAGGGAGTCGCTCGAGGCTCGTCGTTCGCGCGGAAAACATCGTCGGCAAACAAGAATGAAGGGGATCGTCGAGAACAGAAGCTTTTTCCTTTCTTCCTATTGGAATTCTCCAACATTCTGATAATTGATTTGATTCGGCGCTCACAGAAATTGAATTGAGACGTTGTGTAAAGAAGGGAGAAAGCTCACATTCCTGTATCGGAAATTTTACCTTGAAGATTATTGCATTTTAATTGACGCTGTGATTGGAACCGTGTTGGTTAATTAGACAAAACTGGATCCAATTCTATCGACTCGATATTAGACTCTAAGCTCGCTTCAGTACTTAGGCAGCTGTCAATATGAGCACGTTATTCGCGTGTCAGTTGTAAGAAAAATTAATATCGAGGGGATGAAACGAGTGTGCTATTCGTAGTATTGCCTTTAACTAAAATTTATATCGAACCATCTGAGCAGAAACAAATAAGAATTTATTCGTACTCCAACTTAGCAGACAGTACATTAATAAATTTCAGTGGGCGATATGATCTCCGAACGTCGTCGAAAAGGTTACAAGTTGTATCCGATTGAAATTTTTCTGTCTGAATGAGAACGAGTTAGAGTAAAGATGAAAATCAACCCTGTTGGTCGGTGGAGGAAGAGAGGCGTTCCGGTCCGCTCCATTAAGCGGCTATTTTCTCGTATTTCGTTCGTTCCGCTGCGCGTACGGCTTAAAGTGACTCGTGACGCCTTTCGATGGCGCATTAATATATATTTGAATCGATGAATATCGTTGCAGAGAGCCGTAGCATCGAACGGCGTCGTTCTGTTCTATTTTCATCGAGCTAGACGGTCGATTTGAATGGTATCAGATCGCGAGAGCTCGGCTTCCACCGTGAATATAAACGGCGTTCACCGGCCGTGAAGAATCCATCCAAGAATGTCGCGCGACGAGTTAGGGACATTTTCTTCGCGGCTGGTCGCACCCTGAGCCTCCTACTCGCCTCGTTTTATTTCGATTTTCGCGCGTCGTCGCGAGACCGGAACGAATCGGGGGTTGGTCTGGTCGCATCGCGAATCACGCTTGATTTATTCGAAACCGTCTTCTATTTGTGCCGGGAACAGACGCGTTGAACCGACGGAAAAGATTCCCTCTATTTCCGCGGGAAGATAAGGGAAGATTGAAGCGTGGAAGAAATGCAAGCTGAACTTACCTTCCTCGGTTAGGTGCGCGCCACCCACCTTCGCGTTGCCACCTGGAAAATAAAGAGTGATTGGTTGGCAGAATTTTTGCGAACGACAAATCCGTTCTAATTTTGTCGTGGAAACATTATATTTTACAGAGAAATGGGATTCGTTACGAACGATAAAGTTTCTACGAGTTATTTACGAAACTTAGGTTTGAAACCAGTTTGTATAACAGAGGTACTTTCCGAATGCATAAAATCACTTCTTGCGAAAACTTTACGAATTTCATAAAGTGCATACTTTTATACCGCAATTGATTTCAGTGTATATATAAGCTTCGTGCTTAAACACGATTCAAATTTACAGCATTTTTATAGAAATTTTATATTTGTCTTTATTGTTTTTTTAATTTTATGCAAGCTAGAGTTATCTCAGATGACTGCAGAGTGTTTCTTATTTATTTCGAGCGTTCTCATTCAACTTCTGGTACACGTATACCTTTTCCCTTATCTAATCTAGCAAACTCCAAAACAGTAGTAAACCTACCATCTCTTCTCCGAATCTCACAACTCACCCCTAGGAAGGGGTTGAACTTTCGAGTGAACGCGCGTTTTCCTCGCGAACACGCATTCACTCCATTGGCGTAACTAGTATTTTTATCTGGAGTGAACTTGGTATCCTATCTCTACTGTCAGCGCACTGCGGTAGGAATGATGAAATGGATTCTGGAAAATTGGAAGAATTCAGGATCTTGTGATCTCAAAGGTGGAAATTCAAGGATTAGGAATTTGGGACTTGGAGAGTGGAGATGGTAAAGTAGGGATTTGGACATTGAAAGCGTTTCATTGGATTCACAAATTTGGACTTTGTACTTCTGAATTTTACTTTCACACTCTCATTGTATAATTTGTACTTAAAAATTAATTCTATTACGTTATGACACCTCAAAAGAGATAATAATAATAATTACGAATGATATGATATAAATACCTTTCGTAAAAAGTTCAACTGTGTTTTATGTAACGAAACCAAGTGTCCGGATATTTATGGACGGTAGTGTATGTGACGTGATATGTGAGGTATCCTCTACCGTCCACCCATAATTTGGACGATTCCACCCAGATCCCTATCTACTTACGCCAATGGTAAAAGGTATATCGAGGCAAGTCGTGACAAGTCTCGCAAAGAACTCGTGACTTACTGTTGCACATGCCGCCGGTGCAATTCGCCACGCTGATGTCCCTACCCGGGCAAGGTCGGCCACCGTGGCTGGGTGGAGGTTCGTCGCACGATCTTCTTCTGGTGTGCGTACAGTCGGTGCCGCACACCGACCACGCTGACCATCTGGACCATCCTCCGTCCACCACTGGCAGAACAGAAAAAACAAAGGAAACTGATCGAATGATCGTCTACGGCGGAGTCGTTAAAGGGGATCGACGTAAAACGACGGTAAAAAGCCACGGTGTAACGGGCTAACTCGTAAGTCGTCCGTATCCCCCCGAGTCTTGTTTAAAGGCCATACTCGTCAATTCGGTTGTGCGTCCGCTTCCTTTTCGTTTAATTGACTCGTACGATCGTGGAAAAAAACGAACGGACACACACGTGGTCTATACCTCAATCTCTGGGAAGATTCGTTCGCTGGAGCGTTACTTACAAATGCTTCCTTCCCTCGTTCTTTCGCTTTGGTCATTTGTAACTTCTTTCGTATAGAAGACTTACCTAGGGTGTTCGTGAACTCCTCCAACGTGCCGGCTGTTCCGAAGCAAGCGTTAGACAGAAACAAACGTATTGGTGCGTTAAAAGCGAACTGGTTTGTGAAACACGTGCATACAGATAAAACTGATATTAACCCCTTGTCTTTATATTCCTGAATTTCTTGGTGATTGTTTGCAAAGGTTGTCAGTAAATGTTAGACTTGATCCACTCAGAAGAGGATGTTAAGTTACTTGGTTAAGAGGAGTACTTTCGTGTTGCAAGATACTTTGAACGTGATATGAGCCTAGAGTCAGGGTATTTTAACGCATTACGGGCCAATCATTTCCATGCTAGCTGCACCCAGAGGCTAAATATTCTTGCCCTTCACATATTACAGTAATGATATCACAAGACCTTGCGTGATTCAGCTCAAACATTACAATCCTACGTATGAGCATTCTCAATTCGTTCTCAATGATGAAGGTGCAACATTATACGCCCAGCTAAGATAAGACAATCACTTGAGTCAAATTTAATATTCTTCATAGTGTATCATTGGTTAAAAAAATATTCAGAGTTCATCTTATATCCCGTATCAATAAATTTGTGTTTTCCTGAATTTCGAAACGACCATTTATCACCATCAGAAGCACTTAGCCCACTTACGAACGCATTGCTAACCGCGTTAACGGGAGCGAACTATAGCAACTCTATATTCACAAGGGGTTAATATTTCAAGAGTCTCCGCTCGATTCTCCGAGCATGGACATTGCCCTCGCCGTTTCAATACCCTCGTGCAGGTGTCTTCATATTCGAATACAATGTAAGAGCGTCGAGAAGACGGGAACGCGACAGTTAAGGGATCGTGAGACTCGTAAATGAAACGAGAGCATCGGTAATATTAGTCGTAGCAAAACCTGTCGATTACCAACAACGTGGTGCAAGAAATCGTCGACATTAGCTTCCGTGAAAATCTCATTTCGATTAACTTTGGTTACTCACCAGGGCAGGCGGCGTTGCAGTCCATCTTCTGTTGCGATGGACCCAGGCAGGGTTGACCCCCGTTCATAGGCGAAGGGTTCGTGCACGTTCGCGTTCGTTTCTGACCCCCTTTCGCGCATCTCGAGTGACACTCGGACCACGCTGACCAGGAGGACCATCCTCCGTTCACTGAAACAGGATCGATAAGATTGCTTTTATTTTATTGAGCTTCCTTTCAGGAGGGTCGGACTGGGGTGATACGTTGGGCTTCGCTTTTGATCTTGAGTGTTTCTACAGATATTAGGTTTATGGAGTACAACTTTGTGTTTTGAACGATCTTCAAGCGCACCTGGGTACGAACTTTAGTACCAACTTTAACTTTAGTACCAACAGAATCCTTACCGAAAGAATCATTATAAGATTCAGAATATAAAATTAAGCTAAACCTCGATTTCGTTGCTAACTCGAGACACTACCGTTGCTTCGTAATTCTATCGTATCCTAAAAGTTTCCGACTTGTTCCCCAAGAAAGGAGGGTCGTATCCGTGAAATATTAAAGCAATAGCCTTACCGTAAACCGTCAGGCTGACGGGCTCGCTCAGTCTTTTCGCAGCGATGTTCTCAGCGACGCAAGTGTAATTCGCTTGATGGCTGAGTTTCGCTTGTCCTACCAAAAGATGTCCCTCGCTCGACACTAAAAGCGTGTCCGACTCCGTGTCGACGGGAACATTGTTTCTCAGCCAGTACACCCTCGGCGGTGGCACTCCCACGGGAGGAAGACACCTGAGTTCCGTACTCTGACCTGCCTCTACCAATACCGAGTACGGCGGAGACTCGAATTGCTTCTTCAAGTCTGGAAAATAATTTCATTTTCTAGGTAAGTTCTTTCGACGTTGTAGCTAAGTTCTTTTAGCAAGAAAAACATGAAATTGGACTCTGGAGTGATTGATTAACTGAGGAAGGTTGGTATTTTTAGTGGATTGTAGGAGAGTCTGTTACAAAGCGTAAATACTTTTCATTTTACAGAGCTGTTTCATAATTTTATAGAAACAATGTCATATTATCAAATTATCAGAGTCTCAAGCTCTTAAGTGTCTAACTCTTCAAATCCAAAAAATTAAAAATTCTAAGAGCCTTAATTAAGAATTACAATAATTCCAAAGTCCCAAAGCTTCAAATTTGTTAAGTCCAAAAATTCCACAAGTTCAAACTTTCTGATTTCCTAAATTCTCAAATCCTCATGTTCTCAAGTCCTCAAGCCTCCAAGTCCCTAAAACTCCAAGATCCAAAACTCCAAAACCCAAAACTCCAAATCCCCAAAACTCCAAAACCCAAAACTCCAAATCCCCAAACTCCAAATCCCCAAAACTCCAAAATCCAAAACTCCCAAACCCAAAACTCCAAATCCCCAAAACTCCCAAACCCAAAACTCCAAAATCCAAAACTCCAAATTCCCAAAACTCCAAATCGCCAAAACTCCAAATCCCCAAAACTCCAAAACCCAAAACTCTAAAACTCCCAAACCCTGAAAATCCAAACTTGTCCCCATCTCCAAAAGTGCCACTAACCCAAAACTCCAAATCCCCAAAACCCAAAACCCAAAACTCCAAATCCCCAAAACTCCAAAACCCAAAACTCCCAAACCCTGAAAATCCAACCTTGTCCCCATCTCCAAAAGTGTCACTAACCCGAAACTCCAAGCACCCAAATCTTCGCAAGTTTAACGTTCGAACGTGTTTCCTCCACGAAGGTTTTTGCCATTGTTTAGGATTGAATGACGAAAGAAGCAAGAGCCCGGAGTAGCTTTAACGATTTATCTTGGCCGTTTTCACGGAGCAAGTTTTTGTCCGGTAGGCACGTTACGTAAGGCAACAAACGATCCTTTCCTAAATTGATTCTCTTAGAAACTCCACGGTCGCCGGTCATTGTGTTGCCTCCCATTAAGGGTCGGAATTAAATAATGACCTCGCTTAGGAGAATCAAGATAATTACGAGGGGCGAGGGTGAGGCAGAACGAAAGTCGTGACTGCACCGACAGCAGGGCAAACAACTGTCGAGAACTGAATATTTATTGGCAAACTTCTAGGAAGAATTGAGACGTCTTGGATCATCGTGCGACACTTGGACTGCTTCGAATAATTAACTACGTCCTCGAATAACTTTGTGAATCATGCTATTTAATCTGGAGTGACTTTATGAAATTAGGAGCAATTCACGGAAATTATGTATTATATTTTTAGGAGATTCAGCTGTGCTTGGTGTAGCAAAATTATTTAAAGTAGTAAAGGAATAAACTTTGTCAAATATGCAAATATGTGTTCATTATACATCTTCTTTGAATATAGTTCTCTTTATTTCTAACTTTTTTTAACCCTGTCGATTTTATTTAAATTAAAATACTTAAATAATAATACTTACAAGCAACATCGACAGTAGCCGGCTGACTCTTGATTTGTCCCGATCCAGACCAGGCAACGCACTCGCACTTGAACTTGTCCTTACCAAAGTACTCCTCGATATGATCTCTAGTTACGTTAAGCTCACAGTCGACTATCCTGGTCCCGGTATGGGGATCCACAAAGTCCTGTTGCTGGGACTCGTCCGCCCTCTCATCGTTGCAGCGGAAGAAGATCTGCAACGCGTGAGCAGCCTTGCAGTGTAACGTGGCCGGTTTATTCTTCACCACGAAAGAATCGACTGGTTCAGTGAGGAAGACCGGCAGATGACCGCCTGCTTCGGAGATCAGCTCTGTATCCGTCGCTATCGTTGCCGAAGGCACGTCATCTTCCTCCAGGAGGTAGGAATCTTCATCTTCCGCTGCGTCATCGCCTTCTGAAACAAAGCGTCCACTTTGTAGATTACTTCTACATACATTTTTTCTTGCAAGTCATAACACTTTCAAATCTCTTTTGCAAATTATAAAACTTGTGGATCCTTTTCTTTGCTATTCATAATTTTTCTTTTGTGAATTATAAAACTTGTGGATTTTTTTATTTGCTGTTGATAATTTTTCTTTTGTGAATTATAAAACTTGTGGATTCTTTTCTTTGCTGTTGATAATTTTTCTTTTGTAAATTATAAAACTTGTGGATCCTTTTCTTTGCTATTGATAATTTTTCTTTTGTGAATTATAAAACTTGTGGATTCTTTTCTTTGCTGTTGATAATTTTTCTTTTGTGGATTATAAAACTTGTGGATTTTTTTATTTGCTATTGATAATTTTTCTTTTGTGAATTATAAAACTTGTGGATTTCTTTCTTTGCTGTTGATAATTTTTCTTTTGTGAATTATAAAACTTGTGGATTTTTTCATTTGTTATTGATAATTTTACTTTTGTGAATTATAAAACTTGTGGATTCTTTTCTTTGCTGTTAATAATTCTTCTTTTGTGAATTATAAAACTTGTAGATTTTTTTATTTGCTATAAATAATTTCTTTGTGGATTTTCTTCTTTGTTATTGAAATATGTCTATTAAGTTTGATCATGAACAGCACAATTATTATGTCTTTGGATCATGAAAAATTGTATGCATGTTGGTAAAATGTCAGTAAAAGATTCTTTCGAATCTAACGAGCTATGATCTCGATAACACAGAGAAGTTTCATCGAAAGAAATTTGAATTGCAGATTAAATTAAAGCTGAGAGACAACGTTTCCTATACCTCGGGCCATCTGTGGCCGTAATCACAAGATATGTACCGCCAGTGTAGCATAATCGTGAAATTAGGTATACGCCAGGTGTAACCAGCGAACTGCAGACAACCGAGGACTTAACTAACCTCGCGCATGCTATTCTAAACTTCTGCCATTACGCATAACTGCACTTATCGCTGTAATAGCTTACGTACAAGATAAAATGTAACAGAAAGGAACAGAAGATTCTTAGAACATAATTTTGTTGCGGTGTCTTTAACACCTAATTATTTCGTGTTGGATTCTTGTCAGATGTGTGCTCACGAAATTTACGATCATAAACGTAGTAAAACTCATCTATCTTATCGTCTTTAGTTCGATTTTTTTTATTACTTGGTCTTCCAGTCCGTAGCTATAAAAATGAAAATTCCGAAACGCTATAATTTGAGTGACGTCCAGACAGCAATAACGTGTCATGTGTGTCGGTGATTAATCGAAACGAATGACGCTGTTTATTATCGGCTCGTAATAAATTCATAGAATTGGATTATCGTCATTAACGAGGCAAAAGGTGGATCCGGTGAATCAGGCGGGATCACGCGGTACGCATCGTCGGCCTGACCCCGGGTCTGGTCAGTCAGTCATTTGAATTCTAAATACCAGCGGCGGTAATCGTAATTTACGATCGAGTTATTAATTCGCACGGTTATGGGGCTGGTTCCATCGGAATCGTGAAAATTCTATATTTGCTTGTCAACAATGGCCGGCGCGCACCCTCTTGTAAATCCTGACGCCGGCCCATTAATGCCGACGGTATACTCGCGAGTGGAACTCTCCGCGCGTGTCCCGGCTACGAACAATCGCGAGCTGCAGTAATGAATTTTCGGATTTACGCGGCGCACCGGTGCACAAGTCCGATGCATTTCCCGCCAACCAGCGGTTAGACCTTTATCCCCGTGCGACATTTGGCTGGGGGCCACAATTTTCATCGCGATAATCGCCTCGCTCTCTGTATATCGTTTTCGTCTCGCGACACTTTAGATAGAAATCGAGCCGCGGAAATGAAAAAATATATTTTTTTTATGGCCAACTGCGTGCCGTGATTTTGTTCGTGGTTAGGTGCAAACCTCAAAGTACCCCCAGTCGGTGCAGCTTTGTCCCATTGATATTTTTCACGACTGTCCTTCATTTTCTTCGCAGTCTAACTTGTACAGCAAGAAAATTCTGGTCCTGTAACTTGCAGCTGTTTTTTAAATAACTGGACATATTTTACAAAATATGCAAGCGATGTGAATTTATCGATTCTAAAATAAGGACCGCAATATCACATTGACCATTTAAGGTCTATAAGCTAAATTAAATCTCTGCGAACTACCTAGCGAATTAAGAGAAAAACCGCGAACGAGAAAGAGAGGAGGCGAAATAAAATGGCGTGAAAAGAAAACATTTATTTTAATCGAGCAGTTAGAGAGGCGGTGTTTCCCGTTGGCATATGCGTGTGTGGAAAAGGCGGGAAAAATTGCGGAGAGAATTCTAGGCGGTTCAATCAACGATATAGCTGGTCGCGGCGGTCCAAAGTGGCTAACGAGGATTTTCGTACGTACTGATTCGCTCGCGGGGAAAAACTGCCCGCCACGATCTCGCAGCACCCCATCGGATAGCCGATCGAGACCCATTATCGGAAACCGATGAAAATTCTCTTGTAGTCTCGCCTCGCTACGTCGCGTTGCCTAAAAAAAAATTTTTTCCTCTCGCTTCCCGTTCGCCCTCCTTTTTTTTCCGCCATTCGTCCGGCGAACGACGCCTCTCATTTGCCCGTTGCCCGATTCCTATCTCCCCGGGCAGGATATCGAAGGTATCTGGCCCGCCGTCGGGTATAAATTCTGACAATATTTTTTCCGCGCGAGACAGATTTTTGTTCGCTTCTCGTAGACAGCGTGAAAAATAACGAGCAACGACGCCGATAAAAACCAACGAGTCACGGCTGTGACGTCTGTCCATCACGATACGTTCCGCTATGGATGCTGTGAAAAACATCGTTGTTTTCGAAGGAAGTGGATACGTATCACGGATCGTGATGTTATATGCGCGGTGTTGGTTTGATAAGTCAACAGTGTAACGCGTATACGGATATCATTTTACGTAGCGTATTTGCAACAAAGAATACCCTTGAAACACTTCTGAAAAATAGAAGTACTATTTTTTTAGCTATAACGGTGCTCTGGAATTTTACTCGAATAACAAGTCTCGAAGTACAATCGAACTTCCGTGAAAAAAATTGAATACACGACGCAGTAAGCTCCGGAAATAATAGAAACGGAAAACCGTATTGGAAAATGCAACAGATTATTTTAACGTCCGCCTGAATCCGAATGAGATTAAAAACCTTTCAACTTTAATCGCGTATCATCGAGGCTGCCGACTGCTCTCCAAAAGAATCGATTAAAGCAAATGACTCGTGCTTTACCCTCCAATTACGATGTTCTTTTCCGCGGTTTCGCTCTCTTCCGGTTGGAAACCGCGCTCTGTGTACACGGCCAGGCTGAAAACCGCGAACGAGAAAGAGAGGAGGCGAAATAAAATGGCGTGAAAAGAAAACATTTATTTTAATCGAGCAGTTAGAGAGGCGGTGTTTCCCGTTGGCATATGCGTGTGTGGAAAAGGCGGGAAAAATTGCGGAGAGAATTCTAGGCGGTTCAATCAACGATATAGCTGGTCGCGGCGGTCCAAAGTGGCTAACGAGGATTTTCGTACGTACTGATTCGCTCGCGGGGAAAAACTGCCCGCCACGATCTCGCAGCACCCCATCGGATAGCCGATCGAGACCCATTATCGGAAACCGATGAAAATTCTCTTGTAGTCTCGCCTCGCTACGTCGCGTTGCCTAAAAAAAAATTTTTTCCTCTCGCTTCCCGTTCGCCCTCCTTTTTTTTCCGCCATTCGTCCGGCGAACGACGCCTCTCATTTGCCCGTTGCCCGATTCCTATCTCCCCGGGCAGGATATCGAAGGTATCTGGCCCGCCGTCGGGTATAAATTCTGACAATATTTTTTCCGCGCGAGACAGATTTTTGTTCGCTTCTCGTAGACAGCGTGAAAAATAACGAGCAACGACGCCGATAAAAACCAACGAGTCACGGCTGTGACGTCTGTCCATCACGATACGTTCCGCTATGGATGCTGTGAAAAACATCGTTGTTTTCGAAGGAAGTGGATACGTATCACGGATCGTGATGTTATATGCGCGGTGTTGGTTTGATAAGTCAACAGTGTAACGCGTATACGGATATCATTTTACGTAGCGTATTTGCAACAAAGAATACCCTTGAAACACTTCTGAAAAATAGAAGTACTATTTTTTTAGCTATAACGGTGCTCTGGAATTTTACTCGAATAACAAGTCTCGAAGTACAATCGAACTTCCGTGAAAAAAATTGAATACACGACGCAGTAAGCTCCGGAAATAATAGAAACGGAAAACCGTATTGGAAAATGCAACAGATTATTTTAACGTCCGCCTGAATCCGAATGAGATTAAAAACCTTTCAACTTTAATCGCGTATCATCGAGGCTGCCGACTGCTCTCCAAAAGAATCGATTAAAGCAAATGACTCGTGCTTTACCCTCCAATTACGATGTTCTTTTCCGCGGTTTCGCTCTCTTCCGGTTGGAAACCGCGCTCTGTGTACACGGCCAGGCTGGCAAACACACTCGCGTGGAATCGAGCGGGTAACGAGAAGAGAAGACGAGGGCTCGATCGAGCGAGCGGAGTCGAGGCGAAAGAGGATTTCCATCGATTTCCGATAATCGTGTGCCGATCGGTTCGCCGACAAAGTTTCGCGGAATCGTTTCCCGTCTAATTCCCGTGGACGAGCCTCGTACCGTTGCGCCCGGTCCCTATAAATTCCCGACGGCCATTTCGTTCTCTCGCTCTCCCTGTATCTTTGATTACTCGTAACGCGGCGTTCGTGTGGCACGCTAATTCGCACGGCCAGCCACTTTTTCCTCGATTTCGTGCACGCTAAACCAGCCGGGGAAAATACGGTAACGAGATGACCGCTTAATCGAGCAAGATAGAACGTTTTGGTCGCGAAAAAAGAGGACCTTCTTGGTCCACCGCGTTACGGAGAAACGCAGACCGGTTATTTCGACCCTTGCTAGCATTTCGGGCTCTTCTTTTTCTGAGTTTCTAGCTACATGC